TGGTTGCACAACAGCGTGAATATACTTTACACTGTTAAACTCTGCACTTAGAAATCATTACGGTAAATTTCATGTTGTTGTTCCCACAATTAACAATAAAAAAAGGAAGGACCTTGCGGGTCGGTGCGAGGGCTGCAGGTCCCTGGCTGTCGCCGGCCGCAGCCCCTCCAGGTTCTGCCGCAGGATTCACGCTAAGGACACGCTTTCCCCAGGAGGCCTGAAGTCCATAACTGAAGACAGCAGGGGTACTGGGACCAGGACATTTCTGTCCAACATGGGACAACTCTAACAGGCAATCGTGGCCCGAAGGAACCCCCCGGGTTGGTCTCTGCTGTGGTCTGAGGTTCTCACTTCCCGCTGCTGCTTTCTCCTCCTCCCTTTCAGAGCTGTCAGACCTGCAACCTGGTCTGAAGGCTTTCTCTGCGCAATCCTGCCTTCCCCTTCTCTCTGACTCACAGCTCCACTCACCTTCTTGTACTCCTAATTCGGTCTGACCCGCTGCTAACACAAGAAACACAGGAATAGATGCTTATTGCAAAAAATTTCAAATGCTACTCAGGGAGATATAATTAAAAGTGAGAGGGCTTCCTCCTCCACAATCCTACCATCACCCCCAGGAGCAACCACTGCCAACAGTTTGACATGACCATCTAGACCTGCGCTGTGTAACACAGTAGCACACCTGACTACCCAGTGCTTGAAGTGTTAGTCCTCATGGACACAAGTTCTAATTATAAAGTACAGTGCATTTCCAAAAAGAGAATATTTTTAAACTACCTAATAATGTTTCTACTGGTTATATGTTAAAATGATGCTGTGGATATATTGGGTTGAACAAAATATATCATTAAGGTTCGCTTCACCAGTTTCTTTGTACTTTTTTGATGTGGTTGCTATAGAATTTAAGATGACATATGAGGCTAATGTTCTATTTCCATGGAACAAGACTGTTCTACGTAAGTGCTGTCTGGCAGAACTTTCTATAATGATGGAACTGTTCTCCCTGTGCATTGTCCAATGTGGTAGCCACTAGCTATTACATGTGGCTCCTGAGGACTGGAAATGTAGCGGGTGCAACTGAGAAATTGTTTCTAATTATTTTTTTCTTGAGTTCATAATAGTTTACATCAATGTGAGATTTCAGCTGCATTATTTCTTGACTGTCACAACACAAGTGCTCCTCTTCATCCCCTGTGCCCATGCCCACCCCCCTTCCCCTGGTAACCACTGAACTGTTTTCTTTGTCCATGTATTTGTTTATATTCCACACACAAGTGAAATCACCTGGTGTTTGTCTTTCTCAGACTGGCTTATTTCGCTTAGCACAATTCCCTCTAGGTCCTTCCATGTTATTGCAAATGGGATGAATTTGTCTTTTTTTCTGGCTGAGTAGTATTCCATTGTATATATATACACCACATCATCTGTATCCAATCATCAGTCGATGGGCACTTGGGTTGCTTCCATGTCTTGAGTTTTTAATTTTTAAAAATTTTAATTATGGGCCGGCTGGTGGCATAGTGGTTAAGTCGGCATGCTCCACTTCAGCAGCCTGGGGTTTGAGGGTTCGGATCCTGGACACAGATCTACATACCACTCATCAAGCCACGCTGTGGCGGCATCTCATATATAAAATAGAGGAAGATGGCACGATGTTAGCTCAGGGAAAATCTTCCTCAAGCAAAAAGAGGAAGATTGGCAACAGATGTTAGTTCAGGGCCAATCTTTCTCACACACACAAAATTTTTTTTTAATTAAACTGAAGTTTATACAGCCACAAGGGGCTAAAAGCTACCATATTGGACAGTAACAGTACAATCTAGACATTCATATACGTACATACTCTCTCACACAAATACATTTACATTTTTATTGAAGTATAGCATCCTTATACCTTAAAGTACACAAATCTTAAGTGTCTGTCTTATGAATATTGTCATAAATATATACCTCTATAACCCCTGTTGAGATAAAGATATAAAACATTTCCAGTCTCAGAAGGCTCCCTCATGCTCTTTCCCAATCAATAATGCCCTCCTCCAGAGGTAACTTCTATCCTGACCTTTACCAACATAGGTTAGTTTTGCCTATCCTAGAACTTCATATAATTGGAAACATACAGTGTGAACTCAAAAATTTTGAGTCCAGCTTCTTTCTATTTTTTTTGAGGAAGATTAGCCCTGAGCTAACATCTGCTCCCAATCCTCCCCTTTTTGCTGAGGAAGACTGGCCCTGAGCTAACATCCATGCCCATCTTCCTCTACTTTATATGTGGGACCCCTGCCACAGTATGGCCTGACAAGCAGTGCATAGGTCCACACCCAGGATCAGAACAGGCGAACCACGGGCCACAGAAGTAGAACATGCCAACTGGGCCACCCGAGTCCACCTTCTTTGCTCATCATTATATGAGACTCAATCACATTGTTGAATGAAGCAGTAGTTTCTTCTCTTTTATTTCTAACCACACACACATATATTTTCAATAAACTGTTAATTTTAGAACAGTTTCAGATTTAGAGAAAAATTGGGAAGATAGTACAGAAATTGGGAATATAATCCACATACTCAGTTTCCCCTATTATTAACAGCTTACATTAGTATGGCATATGTGTTATAATTAATTAATCAATATCAATATATTATTAACTAAAGTTCACACTTTATTCAGATTCCTTCGGTTTTTTTCTAACATCCTTTTGCTATTGCAGGACTCCATCCAGGACACCACAGGACATTTAGTTGTCATGTCTCCTTAGGCTCCCCCTGGCTGTGACAGTTTCTGACTTTCCTTGTTTTTCATGACCTTGACAGTTTCGAGGAGTACTGGTCAGGTATTTGGTAGAATTTTTTCTTGGGATTTGTCTCTTTTTCTCATGGTTAGACTGGGGTGATAGATTTTGGGGACGAAGGCCACAGAGGTGAAGTGCCACTTTCAGCACGTCCTATCAAAGGCACATACTATGAACATGACTTATAGTGTTGATGTTGACCTTGATCAGCTGGCTAACACTCTGTCAGGCTTCTCCACCGTAAAGTTACTCCTCCTTCCCACCTTTTCCATACTGTACCCTTTGGATGGAAGTCACTACGCCCTGCCCATCCTTAAGGGGCGGAGAGTTACACTCCACCTTCTTGACAGAGGAATTATCTACATAAACTGTTGGGAATTCTGTGTGGGAGATTTGTCTCTTCCCAGTTTGTTTACTCAATCGTTTATTCCTATCTGTACAGGCTCGTGGATATTTATTTTATATTTTGGGTTATAATCTGACACTATTTTGTAGCTCAAATTGTTCCACTTTGGCCATTGGGTACCCTCAGTTGGCTCCTGTGTCCCTTTGACATGATCCTCATTGGTGGGTTTTTTGTTTTGTTTTTAACACTCCCTTACATTCCGGCAGTACAAGCTACTCCAAGCTCACCATGTGTATTTCTTGGCCCAGTCCTAGAATCAGCCATTTCTCCAAGGAGCACTGGTTACTTTTACTGGAAAATGACATTAGAAACCAAGATCTAAGTGCTAGGTTGCACTCACTGCTACTGGGGTGGATACATATATTTAAATAAGCTTTTATTTAACAAAGATTTTTGTTTTATTGTGGTAAAATATACATAACATAAAATTTACCACTTTTACTATTCTCAAGCACATAGTGCAGCGGCATCAAGTACATTCGCAACGCTGTATAACCATCACCATTCATCTCCAGAACTTTGTCATCCCAACTTGAACCTCTGTCCCCATTAGACAATAACTCCCCCTCCCCCACCCTGACCACCACCATTCTGCTTCCTGTCTCTATAAATTTGACTATTCCAGGTCCCTCACATAAATGGAATCATGCAATATCTGTCCTTTTGTGTCTGGCTTATTTCACTTAGCATAATGTCTTCCACGTTCATCCACGTTTTTGCAATTATCAGATTTTCCTTCCTTTTTAAGGCTAAATAGTATTCCATTGCATGTGTATACCACACACACACATTTTTAAACACAAAATTTTAAACTATAGATATTGCTCATTTTCTACTCAATAATACATTTTTATTAATATATTTTAAGAAAATGTACTACAAACAAAACTATATTATTTGGAACCTATGTTTCACCTAATAATAAAAATTTAATAAAGACTAGGTACCTGTAATACATTAGAGATAAGCTTACTTTCTAAGAACAAGATTAGAATCAAAATGAGACGAGTTGCCTGCAGAAATCACCCACTTGTAAGGACTGATGGAAAAATGAGTGGCTGAAGAACGTCATCAAATTTAAGAAAGCACGATTGTATCAAGAAATTTCAAATCATAACACAATCAAGTCAATCTCCCCGAATATATTAACCTGTCAAAAAAGAAACACCATAATCTGAATGCACACACCTATCCATTCTACAAATATTTACTGACCACACTGTTCTCCCGTCTGCCTCCCACACCCAGAATTTAAATCCGCGGATCTTAGCCGCGACTCGAAAGGCAGGGGAACTTTAGTGTGCTTAAAGGATCATTTAGGGACTTGCAAAAAAATGCAACGTTCCAGAGATTCTGAATTCATCGATCCCGGCGGAGCCCCGGAAAGGGCATTTTAACAAGTTTCCACGCGATTTTGCTTGTATGGAAAGCGAATTCCTAAATCTAGCGGTGAAAAACGCACGTACAAAATTTCATGTGAACTGGTTTACGCATTTTCTGAGGAAAAACCATAATATAATCGGATTCTGAAAGTGAGTCTAAGAACTAACCTCCCAGGGCGCTGAGACCCCTTCGCTGCGGGGAGAGATTCAGCGGCTCCCAGACAACTAACTGCACATTCGATAGGCTTTCTACTCAATTCTTCAATTTAGCCGTTTTTATTTTCCTGAAAAAAATTAGAAAAACGGAAAGTTCATTTCTCTCGGAGATGACGTGTCTTCAGTGCTCAATGCATGTGATTAATTTTCTTAATATAAAAACAAAAACACCGCCTGTGACGAATCTGCTTCTTCCGATGTAAAGGTCCAGTCAGGCAAGGACGGAGAATCTCCCGTCGCTTGGAGCTCGGCCGCCGTCTCCGTGGGAAAGGAAGCCTGAGCCTCGCTGAGGTGAGTGGGGCGGCTTGGCGGGAGCAGGGCCCACCCTGGCGAGAAGGACGAGGGAATGCAGCCCGGACGGTGTGTCCGCCCGTGTATGAGCCGCCATGTTGAAACCTGGCAGCAGGGGAGAGCTTGTGGGGTCGTGTTGCGGGGAGCGGGAGCGGCAGCTGGGTTGGAAGGATGGCCCTTTCCGCTCTGCGACCACCCGGAAGGTGAGGCGTGGGGAGACCGCCTCCAGGGCCGCGGCCGAGGCCTAGGCGCTGCGGGGGGATTGGGAGTACCAGTCCCCCCTGTTCACCCACACTTCCGCCTGAGCGTCCACGGCGTCACTGCGCATGCCCAGGGCAGCTCTGAGGGTCCGGCCTTCAGATTTGTTTCCCAGTCGGATGCAAAGCGCGGGAAAGTCTTAACTCTGCAGACTCAGTGAGGAGAGGCGTGCTTTGTTTGGTTAATAACAACTTTTATTTGTACAATGATTTATAATTGTAAAGCACTTTCACAGACACTGTCTTATCTGATCTTCACAAAAACCTAGCGAAGTGGCATTTAGCTACATCTAACAGCTGATTTAAAGTTTGCCCAAAATAGGACCAGGTCTTAACCCTGGTGTTCTGACTCCCGATCCAGTGCGATTTTTCACTTTCCACACTTTTGACCTTGGTGGTTCATTGCCCCACCCATCTCCACCCCCCACCATTCGTCTCTCACATCTCATCCTCGTTTTTGAAATGATGACATGAATCTAAAAATCGAAAGAAGTTGTAGGAGATCTCAACGTAATGCTGCAGCAGAGGAAATACACCCGGAAAGATTAATGAGAAGCCGTGAAGCCTGCTGATCTCTCAGCATCTAGTATCGATACAGGCATACTGATGAGGGAGATAACAGAAAATCCGTGGTGATCCTTTGTAATTCCCTTTAGATTTTCTTTTTTTCTTTCTGCTTTTTCCCCCCAAATCCCCCCAGGACATAGTTGTATATTCTAGTTGTGGGTCCTTCTAGTTGTGGCATGTGGGACGTGGCCTCAGCGTGGCTTGATGAGCAGTGCCATGTCCGCGCCCAGGATCCGAACCAGCGAAACCCTGGGCCGGCTTGCAAACTTAACCACTCGGCCACGAGGCCAGCCCTTCCCTTCAGATTTTAATTTGAGGAACTCTTAAAGCTTTGAACAGGAGCTCTGACTCTGTACAGTAATAGCACTTTTTTTGGTGGATCTTTGTGACCTTTTCGTGTTACACGAAGATGGGATTCTTTCCCACTTGAGGTGGGGGGTTCAGCCTCAAATCCACTCAGAATCCTGGTGGGGTTTTTTCTATCCCTATCTCCAAAGCCTTATATTTTATGACAGCTGTCTAAGGAATTAGTTCAGAGCTTAAGTTCTGGAGTCGAAAAAGCCCTGATTCTAACTCCCCAGCTGGGCTGCTTCTTAGCTTTGTGATTTGGGGCAAAAGATGACCTTTTTGTGTCTCACCTTCCTCGTCTGAAATGGCAATAATAGTAGAACCTAGTCCTGGTAGTGCTGAGAGGTGAGGGGAGTTGGGTGCTTAGCACATGGCCTGGACCTCCTAAGTGTTCAATACAAGTTAACTATAATTATTATGGTCCTTGTTTTTTTTCTGCCCCAGTGATGGAGGTAGGGAGTAAGATTAGAGTCTCAGAATTTGGGGGCCAATAGAATGGAATCAATGTAGAGGGTACTAGAGCAGGGAGAGAGTCAAACAAAAGAGAGCTCTCTCTTTTTTTTTCACATGGAGAAATTCCAACCATAAGAGAGAAAAGACACAAAGTGTGTTAGAGGCAGAACCCAGACCGGACCAAAACTGTCTCACTCTTGTCTCATTGCTCCAGCTGTTTATCATCCTTTTTCTGATGGAGATACCTGAGAGGCATCTTCTCCAAAGCTGCTTGTTAAAGATGACAAACATGTGTGCCCTCCGTTTACAGTCTGGTGGCAGGCAGTGTCATGTCCTGCCTCTCAGTCCCCAGTGAAATGTTTTTGTCTGATTTGGACCAAAAAAAGTTCAGTGAATTTTGATTGGAATTGGTTCAGTTCCCCAGCATTTATCAGAAAGTGTCCTGGCATCTGGAGATGAACTAAGGCAGGCACTAGATTGAAGAGTGTTTATTGTGCGTTGGGCAAAACGTGGTCAGTGAGACAGAAGACGTGCGATGAGCTATGGGAGAGGTGAGTTTGCTTCACGGGGAAGGGGGTGGAAGCTGGGCTTGGAAGGACCAGTAGGACTTCCAGAAGTGGAGATGTGGGAGGCAGAAAGGAGGAGAGTATTCCCAGCAGAGGAAATTGCACCGGGAAAGACATGAAGCTAGGGAGTTAGGGTGCATTCAAGGAATGAAGGGGCGACCCTGGGTAGGTTTTGCAGTGGGATATGGTGGGAGGCTGAGTGACGTCAGAGGTCTTGAGTGCACTGCTGTTGACTTTGGATTTTATTCTGTAGGTGTTTGACTTTTATACTGGGGAAAAAGCCCCACAGTGCACCCCATAAACAGTCACTCCCCCTAGATAACCCATCAACTGAAGAAGGACAAAAGCAAAAAGATCCTTGAGGAAAATCTGGGAAAGAGATAATCATTTTCATAATACGGAAAGATTCCGTTAGGAATGAGGATTACCATAGAAAAGAGAGCGCCCAGGTTTTTAACATATTTCAGCATTGGCTCTAAAGTTTCACAGAGGTGATCACATGAGCATTAGCGGTGTCTGAGATGTTGGCAAGCACTGTATTTTTCCAGCAGATTCATGTGAATCAATTATCATGTATCAGCCTCTCTGAACTTAAACCTTCCCACCCTCTTTCAAAACAAAAATTATCATGTATCAGAATGAATGACAATCACAGTCTGCTTGCTGGGCTAAAATTACCATTGCAATCAATTCTCATGCTCCAAGGCATAAGTGGATTATCAGCTAGGGAACTGGGAAGAAATCCCATATTCCTCTTGAACCGAAGAGCCTGCTGCTGGGTTACTGTCCTTTTAGCTTTGCTTCCTGTTTACTGTCAGATGCAAAATGCTGTATCCAAAGCACCGTTTTCCCTTGTAGTTTTGTTTAAAAAAAGTCCCTTACCTTTTAGTGACATATACTGAAATATTTACAGATGAGTCATGTATTATCTAGAATTTGCTTCAAAGTAATCCAGGAGCAGGGATGTGAGTGGGGCACAGATGAAACAAGACTGGCCACAGGTTGGTCACAGTTGGAGTCACGTGAGGAGTTTGTGGAGGGTTACGCCATTCTCTACATTGGTATATGTTTGAAATTCTTGGTAGTAAAGATTTTTTAAAAATGCCATTTTCCACAGCAGTCCCCAAGCTGGTTTTCCTAGGACCATTGTAAAGTCTCTGAAAGACAAGTTTGGATTTTGATCCTTGTTGCCACATTATAACATCACGTGGTAAGTGCCCTGCTGTGGCTAAGCTGGTTGATGCATGGATCAAACTCAAAGCACATTGCCTTCTGCTGCTTCCTGGGAGGGAGGGGGGGAGGAGTGGGTAAGAGCGTCTCGGAGCCCCACTGCCTGGCTTTGACTCTGTCTCTCCCACTTTCTAGCTGGGAGGCCTCGGCCTCTGGGAATCGCTTCTTTGCCTGTTGAAGAAGGGGTGAATCGTAGTATCTGCTTCATGGGGTTGGCGTAAGGTTTAAACGGGTAGCTCATAGTAGGTGCCACATCAACGCTTGCTGTGATCCTTCCTAGACCATGAACGATTGGATGCCCATCGCCAAGGAGTATGACCCACTTAAAGCTGGCAGCATCGATGGCACCGATGAAGACCCACATGATCGCGCGGTCTGGAGGGCAATGCTGGCACGATACGCCCCCAACAAAGGCGTCACAGGAGACCCCCTCCTCACCCTGTTTGTGGCAAGACTAAACTTGCAGACCAAAGAGGAGAAGTTAAAGGAAGTATTTTCCCGCTACGGGGACATCCGGCGGCTTCGGCTGGTGAGGGACTTGGTGACAGGCTTTTCAAAGGGCTACGCCTTCATCGAATACAAAGAGGAGCGTTCTCTGATCAAAGCCTACCGAGATGCAGACGGCCTGGTGATTGACCAGCACGAGATATTTGTGGACTATGAACTGGAAAGGACTCTCAAAGGGTGGATTCCTCGGCGACTTGGAGGAGGTTTGGGGGGAAAAAAGGAATCTGGGCAACTGAGATTTGGGGGGCGGGATCGGCCTTTTCGAAAACCCATTAATTTGCCAGTTGTTAAAAACGAGCAGTATAGAGAGGGGAAGAGGGAAAAGAGGGAGCGGTCTCGATCCCGAGAAAGACACTGGGACTCGAGGACAAGGGATCGAGACCATGACCGGGGCCGGGAGAAGAGATGGCAGGAAAGAGAGCCAACCAGGGTGTGGCCTGAAAGTGACTGGGAGAGAGAGAGGGACTTCAGAGATGACAGGGTCAAGGGGAGGGAGAAGAGGGAGAGACGAGAGTAGAGCCCCCCCCCCACCACCAGCCCCCAGACGAAGGTACAGCGTGAGGAAAAGCACAGAGCCATCGGCGTTGCTTGCGTACAAAGCCCAACGCCTGAATAAAACTTCGTGATGACACTGGGGTTGGGAGTAAGTTTTCTTTCCAATGTGGAATCCAGGTTCAAGCTGAACCTTCTGAGTGTCTCTTCATTTTATAGTTCAATGGACACATTATTTAATAAGCTCGAGAACCAATTTTGTACTCCCTGGAATCTGTATGGAAGAGCACGTGTAAGGAGTCACCGTTCGCATTTAATTGGGCAGTAGAAAATTTAAGAATTTGATTTTCTCCCATCTGTTGGACATGACCATTTTGAGGGCTTGGCAAGAAGAGGTGATGACCAAAAATTATTTGTATTGCTCTCAGACTCCTGGGAACCCGAATCGGACCAGAATAAGTGGTATCTTTTCCATCTTCATATCCACGATGCAAGGGTCTGCTGAATTGAAATAAAAATGGGCTAGAAAAGAATCCCAAGGAGAATGTCCAGAGACTTAATCCCAAAGCCAGTCTGAGCAGTGGGCCCGGTCGGTGACCCGCTGCTCTTGAGCCCCTGTAACTCCACTCAGGAGCCACATGCTGACTACCTTTTCTCTTTCCTTTTTTGGTGGGGAGGCTGGCATTTAAAATGAAAAACCAAAGTTGCAGGGCTATGGGGCCCTGATCCTTGGCAGTCTTCCAGCCCTTTGAAAAGATAAAGCTCAAAAGCATGAGAGGAAAATGAAAATGAAGAGAAATCAGTGAGAGGTTTGTGTCTGGTTCCAATGGATTGATTCGTCTGTCTCGATCATCCAGCCTCTGGTTTGTCTGAAAGCTGGTTATGCTGACCTGTTTCTGAGGGCTTTGGGTAAGGACGATACTGTTCACATGGTTTTCAAAAAAGTATATTTAGCATTTTTGTTTTATCAATGGCCTTATCTTTGAAAGTTCAGGTTCTTAAAATTAAAGATGTTCCATGCAAAATAATTGTCTGATTTTAGTATCAGGACTTACACAGTCATTACTAGGTTTTTGCGTTAGGAATATGAATCTCATTGTTACATAGGGAACTTGCTATATCTGAATCCTGCTGTCAGCTCTTGGAGCAGTTTTAGAAAAATGTTCTTTCCTTTGTAAATTTCCAGTGCAGAATTTTACTATCTCCCAAGGCTCAGAAAACAGCCTTGCAGGAACACCTTTCTGGTTTCAGTCACGTTTCATTTACAAAGTGCTCGCTGTGATGGCACCAAAAAGTGTGTCATGGGCTGCAGTTCTAGGTACCAGCTAAACAAGAGTGCTCCACGTCAGGGAAGCCTGTGAGTGCATCGGAAGAAACAAATCCAGTTGTGTTTACACAGTCTAGGCCAGCGGTTGTCAGCCCTGGCTTGGATGGATTAAAAAAACATGCACACTCAGACCCCATCCCTGGACATTTGGGCTTTGTCTTGTACGGGCTGGAAACTGAAAAAAAAAAAAAAAAAATGGTAGAACCCCCATGGCAGGGACTTTAGCAGGAGCAATCAGCATGACAAAGGCGTACACCCTCTGACCCAGCAGCTTTGCTTCTAGTTTATTCTGCAGACCACCGCACATGTGTGAAAGTATGCGGCACTCTTTTATACAGTAACTCAGATTGGAAGGAAGCTCCCTGTCCACCAGTGGGGCCTGGACAAACATGAGCAAATTGCACGTCTGTATGGTGCACCAGGGTTCCTCAGCCTCAGCCCTGCTCACATTTGGGGCTGGATCCTTCTTTGTTGTGGGGGCTGTCCTGCACATTGTAGGATATCTAGCAGCATCCCCAGAGCCTACCCACTGGGTGACAATAGCACCGCCCCCCTCCCCAGTCGTGACAACCCAAAATGTCTCCAGACAGTGCCAGATGTCCCTGGCGGGCAGAATGGCCCCTGGTTGAGACCCACTGTCTTCTGTACTGATGTGGAGTCATGTCCAGGGTATTCTAAGAAAAGAAAGGTACAGAATAGCATGTATATAGTAAGCTGCCATTTATGCAAAAAAGAGAAGGGGAATATATATATATTTTTACATAATTGCATGTATATTTACCAATTATTTTAGGAAAGACACCCAAGAAACTGGCAACACTGGTTACCCCTGGGAGGGGCCCCAAAGGTACCAGGGGAGGGGCTTCCCGGTGCACAGGCTTTGACGCTCTCCAGGAATAAACTCTAGTCATTCTATCAGGCAGTCAGCTGCAACAACATTATCCCGTCTGATCGTTATTTTCAGCAATCTGGAAACAGTCCGTGTAGACTCGGTAAACCGACCTGCTGGTTCCTTGGCAAACCATAGGAGAAGGTGTAGAAAGGAGGGCCGTCACACATGCTGTCTTAGGAAATGCTACCTCTCTGAACCTATGAGCATCCAGTCTTGGACCCTGGGTGTTCCGTGGGTGGAGAGAAAGACAGCGTTATTTGGGCAAAGCCCCAGCTCGCCAGTTGCAGACAGCATCTGGCTCTCCATCTGCCAACACAGCCCCGTGATTCAGCCAGACATCAGTCCCCAAGCCACCTTTTCCCCCACCGCCCTTACTCTGGCAAACCTCCCCCACCCACCATCCTGCATCCCCTAGGCTCCCGCACCCCATTCCCAATTCGCTTTGGGACATTTGTGTCCTTCGCAGGGGACTACGTATTTGACATGGTGAAGGCTAACGGGGAAAAAAAGAGGCCAAGAAAAAAAATCCACACAAGAAACATTGCAATGTCTCATCCTTAGCAACTTTGTTTGGTTAGTACTGCAGAATTCACAGCTGATTCCAAGGCACTCGCCTTGAACATTGCTACATGCTCCAGGCATTATCAGTAACAAGGTGCAGGAGAGAACCGCCAGCTCTTGCAGAGTTGTCTCCAGTTTCCAGGTGGGAGGACTGTTGTCCATATTTTCTGTTGCTCTGTGTCTGAGCTGGGCCGGCTCATCCTGTGACTTTGGAGGCCCTGCTTACTGAATCGATGCATCCTATATATTAGGCTACCACCACGACAATTTCATGAACGTAACTAACGAAAACCTACCATTTCCCTGTCTCCCACTTAAGTGTGACAAACGTGATAATAAAACCTCTCCACAGAGTTTCATACAAAGCAAGTGAAACAGCAATTGTAATGGCAAGTGATGTATTTGGCTCAAAGAAGCTTGTGTTACTGAAGTTAATGCAAAAGTCTGGCCTCTGCTCATGATATTATTAAATATATATCCTAAGGGATCGGAGTCATCTATCATAAACGGTGACAGCCCTGGGTATAAATAAACATTTCTTTAGAGTTTGGCATCAGTTTTTCAATGTGCTTCCTCGAAGCAGACAGTTTGTTTGAGGGATCAGTTTTGAGGGTGCATCTGAACCGAGAGGGGTGCAGGGTCCTGACACCTGAGGCTGCAGGTTCTGCTGCAGGCGCTGGCGGTGAGCGGTTCAGGCCCGAGGGCAGAGGTGGGCCACGGTCACAGGTGCTGCAGGGCTTCCTGTCCTTGCTCCGTGTAACCGTCATCACGGTGGGAGTTGGCCCACTGGCCAAAGGACTCCTGGATGTGCACGTTCCTCTGCGTGTTGGCCAGGCGCTTCTTATCTCGGGAGAAGAAGCTAAACCTTTTGGAAGGGAAAGAAAGAAATGAGAGCCTACCCTTCGCTGTGCACTTCACAGTTTGTGCAATGCCAGGGACAGAGAGCAGCAAACGTGAAGGGAGCAAATCAATACAAGGTGTGAAAGGAAAAGTTGGGGTGCAGGTCAGAGTTATTCTAGAAAGCAGCAGGGGATTTTGCGTGTCATTGTCACAGTCCCTTGGAGGTGACACAGCATGAACAGGGCATGCACGTACGTGATGTGTGATGCATCTCCCACCTGAACCACTACTGAGGATTTCTTCTCATCACTAAAGCGAAGAAAAAGCTACTGGAAACATACATGATGGGTTTCTTGACCCTAATGATGTCGAGAAAGTAATACTTGAAAGCCATATGGGATGTAAGATGATTCTGATGTAAACAGATGAATGGTTTTAATGTCAGTAGTTACGTATCTATTTAACGTGAATCAGGAAATGAGAAAAATAACACATCAAAGCCCAGGTTTTGGGGCCGGCCCGGTGGCGCAGTAGGCTCACACCCTTCACTTCGGCGGCCCAGGGTTCGCCGGTTCAGATCCCGGGTGCGGACATGGCACCGCTTGGCAAAAGCCATGCTGTGGCAGGCGTCCCGCATATAAAGTACAGGAAGATGGGCACGGATGTTAGCTCAGGGCCAGTCTTCCTCAGCAAAAAGAGGAGGATTGGCAGCAGTTAGCTCAGGGCTAATCTTCCTCAAAAAAAAAAAAAAAAAGCCCAGGTTTCATGGATATTACTGCTTAGGATGAGGCAAAAGTAGGTATTTAAATAAAATGAGACAATTAAAAAATATTTTAAGTAAGTAATAGTACACATGAGTCTCTGATTAAATATTGTGAGTAGAGCACGTGAATGAAATTTGGGAAACATCAATTTGGAGCGTCAAAAATTGAGTTAATGGTGAGAGCCTTTAGAAGTCATCCCTGTAACCAGCCACACAGCAACAGCTAACGTGGACTGAGAGGTCTGTTTGAAACAGCTGTGGCTACTGATCACTGATTAATCAGAGCGGACCATCTGATGCCTAAAAGATGAAGGCAGAAATCACAGGCAAAAAGCTTATAAAGTGGCCCATTTAAAACAAGGGCTGTTTTAACTCCACCTAAACAGAGACTAGGACCCTGGCCAGAGACCTTGAGCTGGCCCACTTTGACTCTTTCCCAAAAACCCTTTCTAAGCAGTCCACTGTCCTTTGGCACTCCTAGCCTCGTAACATTTCTTGTCCTCACCAAGTTCTCCCATTCTTGAATTCTGGTTTTTGAACTTGGTAAGAGAGAGAAAAGGCATGTTACGTTTCCCGGGGGCAGTAAGAGGAATGACCCACTGAGACAGTGAAGCTTCAGATCAACTATTTTTAGCTCTGTCTGTTCACCTATTAGCTTTTTTTTTGGTGCTGTGGCCTATGGAGTTCAGTTTTAATCACGTCTGGGTGAAAATGATTTTATTCTTCTGTGGTTACTGGCTCCTACAGTCCCTATCAGAAATAAAGTGGCCTTTCATCATAAAGCTGGGGCGAGCCAAGTTTATCTGGAGACATTCTCCCTACCAGCCACGTCTCTTTTCTCCATGACAGGTACGTGTCCAGGCAGATGAAGGCATGATGTCCTCCTGGGTCATTTGTGAACTCTTTCAGCGTGTCATCAGGGCAATTAGTTGGCCAAAAATACAGCAGCAACCCATCCCTGGGACATCTCACCTCTACCTGACTAAGCAGGAAAGCCACTCGCCACTGCCTGGCCAAGGGACACAGAGAATCAAAACATGGGTCCCCTCCTCTGCTTTTCCTATCTTCCACAGGATCCACTGGCTTATTGACGATGGCTTGGCAAAACAAAGCAGTTTAGAAAGCTAGGGCACGAAGATCGAAAACACAGCGTTAGTGTCACTCGGGCGGGGGGGGGGTCACAGTGGGTGATGATTACTGACCCGTCACTTAAAGGACCTTCTTTACTGGATCAAGGACAAGGTGGTTTTAGAATAGAAACAGAAAAGACAAAAAGAATTATCGGTGACAGAGCTGAGAATTCCGAGGCTCCACTCGTGCAGAGCGAGTGTCACGGGTGGCATGTCTGAAATCGCACTCGACACCCACTTCAAATGGGAACAAGCAGGTGACGGCCATGCAGCTAAAGTGGCCAAAGAAGGCAGGCCAGCCCCAGCAGTAGCCGCAGCAGACATTCCAAAGGCAAAGTTCAAACAAACCCAGAAAAACACAGTGCCTACAAGGGGGACAAGTCGTCGGAGAGGCTGCAGGGTGGGGTCATCTATTATCAGTCCCGCTGCCACCATGGGCATTATGGCTGTAAACATCCTGGTTAGAGAAGTACAGACAGACACAGAGAAGATGAAGACCAGGGAGGCATGAAAATACACAGTCCACAACAGACCAGCTGAAGGGTTTGTTTACGGTACATGCTATGGGTGGAATTGTGTCCCCCCAAATTCATATGTTGTAGTCTTGACCCCCACTACCTCGGAACGTGACCTTATTGGGAGATAAGGTCCTTGTAGATATAACTAGTTAGGATGAAGTTATATTGGAGTAGGGCAGGTCCTTATAAAAGGGAGGAATTTGGACACAGACAGACCCACAGGAGGAACGTCACGTGAAGCTGAAGGCAAAGATGGAGTGAGCTTCTACAAGCCTACAGAAACCAAGGATCGCCAGCAACCACCAGAAACCAGGAGAGGGGCATGAAACAGACCCTCCCTCACGGCTCTCAGAAGGACCCAACCCCGCCCACAGCTTGGTCTTGGACTCCTGGCCCCCAGAAATGTGAGATAATACATTTCTGTTGCTTAACCACCACACCTCCCCGTGCGTCGTACTTTGTTACAGCATCCTTAGCAGACGAGTGCAGCATGTGATGAGCACCGAGGGAAGGCAGGGCAGTCCTCAAGGGCTGAAAAGGCAGGCCTGGGCGTGGGGAAGGAGGCGGTCAAACCCCACCATGGGAGTGAGTAGGGACACCCTTGCAGGGGGCCTTCCAGCACATCCCCCCCAACTGCCATGGGCTGCAGGCTCTGTGCCCCGAGGCAGCCAGGGGAGACCCAGGAGAGAAGGGGAGGCAGCCAGGGTGGGCCGGCAGGACAAGAACTGAAGCCGAGAGCCTGTATAACCGCCCCTGGGGAAGTCAGAGCTGACGGTGACGCCCATCAGTCCCTCGGCTGGGCAAGGAAAATGAAGAAGAAACTCCACACAAGCCAGCAGAGCTCATTTTAAACAGCTTTGATATTCTTTGTTTAGAGCTTGGCTGGGCCAAGATATAAAATGACTGTCTCACATGAAGTTTGAGGATTCTCTGTGTGTGGATCACCTTTGATGCGCTTCAGAGAGTAGCTGGGAGTTGCCATCTTGGTAGAACCACCTGGATGGCTTCTCACGGTGACAATGAAAAGAGAGGACACCTTTTGCTAAATGAACGGGCCCAATCCCCAGAGGCCAGGCTAGTGGGCACAGTGAGCTTTCCAGGGGCTCTAAGCCACGTGGTTCTGCATCCACCTTCACCAGGACCCCTCTCTTAGCATAACAAGGAGCTGGAAAAGGCACAGTCACTGTGTGGGAGATGGCCCCAGATGCGGGGTGGGCGTTTTGCCTGGAGAGATGTTCACCCACCTGGAAATTCGAGACTTCATTTGGGGCCTCATCAGGGCCCTTGGGACACCTGGAGGGTCCGGCCGAATTACTCTCTGTGTCCCTTTCCCTTCCTATTCCAGGTCCCTCCCTGCAGAAGCCGCCACCTCTAGAGAGACAGCCACTTCCACGAAAAAAGACTGGCTTGTTTTGGTCAAAAGTTTATGTCCTGGATATGCTGTAGCTGGTTTTAAGTGCCCCCTCCCCACCGACTATTTCTGGAAGCCTCAAACCAAATGGAGCTCTAACAGTGGCATTGCAGGCAGCGTAATGGGCGGCTGTGAAGAAGCTATTTCTGGGCTGAAGCGAGGAGGGCGGTGGGTAGGAGGACAGGGACAGAATGCGCTGCTGCCGCTACCATTTGATACTTGAGTGGCCGCCTACTCCAAGGCCGACTTTCCGGTATGGAGGCCAGCTCTTCTGATCTGAACCTTCCCTGGCCGTCCTCAGCCCCATGGCTGCTTCCTGCCTCCTGGGCAGCCCTTCTGCCCCTGCTCAGCAGGAGGCAGCTGTGTGTGCGTCTATGGGACGGTGACTGAGAGCCAGGGACCACACAAAGGGGGCGCTGGTGCCTGGTGTCCACTGGGGACGAGGCTGGAGTCACTCAGGCGCTCCTCGTGACCCTCCCAGGCAGTGCCAATGCCGACTCTGTGGCCAGCAGCTGCCCGATCACAAGCTATTCTTGGAACGTCTTCTGGGCGCACTGTTTTGACTGGCGGCAGGAGCTTCTGCTTCCCTTGACCAGTTCAGCCCAGAAATGTAGACTCTGGCGTCCCTGGCTCGTGGAGCATTTGAGAGATAAGGGAACTGGGCATTTAGCCCACAGCTGGTGACTTGAGGGGTGAGGTAAAGGCGGGTGGGAAGGCAGCACGAGACAGCTGGGGCAAGCCCGGGGCCAGGTGGCAGACGGAAGGCATAGGTTCCAGTCCCGACCTGGACCCTTCCCAGCGGTACAATCTACATGACGTCAGCGTGCTTCTCTGGGCCGGTTTCCTCGTCTGAGAAACGGGGCTAAGTGTCCCAGCTCTGAATCTCTGCCAGGGTGGAAGATACCTCAGTGCAAGAGTCCTAAGCCAATGAAGGGACTCCAAAGCTCCAAGGTCACTGCTGCTTACTTGTTGAGGGGGTGGGGAAAACCGGCCACGGGCAGGAAGCTGAGCTGGAAAGCAGGCGTCCGCTGCACTAAAGAGGCCGTGAGGCTAATGCTCCACAAAAGCCAGGACGAAGGGCCCAGACAGACCGAGGAGGGGGCCCGAGGAGTGAAGGAGGGGAAGGGGGACAGGCGTGGAACCGTCGTAGGAGCTGCCATTCCCCACCCGACCTGGGGAAGGGCGTCCCCACCCCAGGCTCTGGGCTCTGCACTGATGCAGCTCCCAGTCAGCAGGGGTGGACAAAGACGACCAGTGTCCTGCCTGGGCTGGTCAAAGGCCTTTTGTGCCTGTTTGATGTCCAGTTACTCCCTAGAGCTGGCCACCTGCACCGGGTGGACGGGAGGCTCTGACTGCTCTCCGTCTGTCTCTATGTCTCTCTCTCTGTTTCTGTCTGTCTCTCTCTGGCTCCCTAATTCCAGCTGCTTCTCCTACCAGGTTCAGAGCCCCAGGTCTTGCTGAGCAACCAGAGGTCACACTAAAGGAGAGAAGGGCTTTGGGAATGGGGCCCCAGGGTCTGGAACAATCTGGAAAAGAGGATCAGACACTGGAGCCTATTCAGGTGTGGGTAGAGCGAGTGGAAAGAAGATTGTCAGCTAACTTTGATAACTTTCCTCAGATTTTACCCAGTTTGAGATTTGCAGGAGCCTACTCATAATTACCTGTTTTAGAGAAAGGAGGCTGGAGTGGAAAATTAAAAAGTCAGAGCCCCCCCAGCTTCGGAAGGAATCCTTAGAATGACACAAGGCCTAGAATTACGGTGCTGGGGGCACTGTAAACACAGCACACTTAAGTGAAGACGCCGAGAAGTTCTGATTCTTAAAGACGGGGGGAATGCACTGCAGACATGGCTCTCCGTCCCCCCTCCCGCCTGGGCTCATGAACTTTTTCTCAACTTCCTCAGGTTTTAGCCCAAAGCCGTAGCTATCGAAGCACAGTCGATTCTGCTCATCCTTCCATGTGCGTGGGGCTGGCATGAATCAGAGTCAAATCTAAGTCAGTCCCATCTCCTACCAAGCACCGGGTAAGAAAGCCTAACCAAGAGGAAGCGTTCTCCAGGGTACTGAGTCCAGCACAGAACAGAGACTGAAGGGCTCCCTCACCCCCCGACGGGGCCCCAGTGGACACCCATCACTTCTGCGGGCTCAGCACTCTGATCTTGCTTGGGGCCTGCCCTTCCCCTAATTCCAGCCCACGTGAACTGGATGGGGTGGAAGCTACCCGAAGCTTCAGGATTGAGAACGAGAGCCACACCGGGCCCATTGATGTACTGCCCTGTGATTGGCTTACGGGTGGTCATGTGACCCAGGCAGAGCCAATGAGACCTGGTTTTGTGACTTCTGTGGAAGATTCTCTCTTCCTACTGGAGTTTCAGATAGAAGAAAGCAGAAGCCTGAGCTGATGGCTGCCATGTTGCCACTGTGAGGGGAGAGCATGCCCAAGAATACAGCCTACAGGAAGGAAAACAGAGTCAGAGGTAAAGGAAATGAGTCAGAGGTGGAAGAAACAAGGCAGAGCCCTGATGACAAGGCCTGGATCCAGCTGAGCCTGAAGCCAGAGTGACCTGGGAATTTTGGGTTACTGAGCCGACAGTTTTTCTTTCTTTTTCTTGTTACTTTGAATGGAGTTTCAATTGCCAGTGGAAGATTACTAATACGTGGCCGCGATGCTGTGGGATCCAGAGGAAGCCATTCTGGTTCTAGGCTTCTCCCTGGGAAATATGTATCCCTCACCAGAACCAGGAACCACACCCCCTGACAAATCCAGGAGAGCTGAGGGCTGAGCAAGTAAGCAACGCGAGGCTGCAGGAGGCTTGAAAAGGAGCCACACATTAACCCGCACGCTCCGAGGGGCAGCCAGCCTTCCCGCAGCCGCCAGGGCCCAGAGTCTGAACAAGTCACCCTTTGCCAAGAGTAGAGGGCTTGGCAGTTTCAAGGCTGCACACATTTGCCTTCCCCACCCCTTCCACCAACGCTGAGCATTCAGTCAATTCACAGGACAAGAACTAGCCAAGAATTTCCAACCAGAAGTGGAGTTTCAAGGTTGCGGCCTCCGAGAAACACCCCGGTTCCTCCCACACTCACGCCCGGTGGCTTTCCAGCCCTCGCCACTTGCTTTCACGAAGCTTCTGCTGAGGATTGAGGGAAGAACCCAGGCTGCTTCTGTAACCAGCCTTGGGGACAGCTGGAAGGCCGAGAGCCAGGAGGACCCTCTCAGGGGAGGTGATAGGCTACCAGACAAGGGTGTGAGCATGAGGCGACATTGCAAAGAGTTTAAAACGTGGGCTCTGCGGCCAGGCTGCCTGGTTGGAACCCTGGCTCTGCCTGTCATTAGCTGTATGACCCTCGGCGGGTGACTGACCTCAGTGCCTCAGTTTCCCTAACTGTAAAATCGGAACAACAGTGCCTCTACCTCAAAGGGCTATGGGAGGACTCAGTGAGGTAATTTGCAGGAATAGTACCTGGCACACAGTAGGTTCGTTGTAGATATTAGCTCACTAGACCAGAGGTTTTAACCCTGTCTGAGGGGCTACAGGGGATCAGTGAACTTGAACTTGTATGTGGTTTTCGTTTTTCCAGAGAAACGGTCTGCAAACTCTCATCAAAATCTCAAAAGGGTCTTTTGGTGAAAAGAACCGCTGAAGTAGCTTAAAATCTAGTCGAGAGGAAAGACTGGGTTGCTCTCTTTCTCGTGTGTCCCCCACAGCAACCAGGGCCTGACTCTGCGTGTAGAATGCACCGATAAACAGAGAGACCGAGGGAAAGCTGGGGGAGTCATCGTAGAAATGCAAAGATGGGGTAGCCCCGGGGCCACAGCCCCACATCCCGGAGCTGAGCTGGGGTTTCAAGCCCTTAAAATGCACGAATCTGCCCCTCCCCGCTTTGCCATCCTCAAGGACCCAGGGACACACCCCCCATACACTCAAGCAAGCCCTGAGCGGCAGCCACAGGCCCCGCCCCCTCGGCCTCCCCTGACCTCTCTGCCCAGGGCCCCGGGGGTACTCAGTGTTCGGATAGAGGTGGACTCAGCCAGGGGCCGGGCCCAGCGGGCTCCGGGGTGAGGCGCGTCTCTGCGGGAGGTGGTTAGTGACAAGCCTGGCCCTGGCGCAGGTGCCCAGGAGGTGAAGTCAGGGGGCGTGTGAACCACCAGGTCAGCCGAGAGGGAGCAGCCCCACACCCGGAAGCCGTCACTTACAGTCTCTTGATCCCAGACTCCGGCTGGGGGGACATTCTCGGGTGCGCGACGGGTGGAGGCTGGGGTATTCGATTTTCCTCTTCTATTTCTTCACTGAAAGGAGTCGAGAGGAGTGAGACAAAGGAGTCAAAAATTCCCTGAGAGCTGGAATATTCCAGAAAGGTACTGTCTGATGGCCTGAGAGGGCGTGTACTCTTTCAGGGGAGTAGGAATAAGGAGACCCAGCAGGAGGGCAACAGTGGCCTCTGCCCCATAGTCTCTCTGCCTGGGGCGCTGGCCTCTTAGTGATGGGCGTGGCTGGGTAAGAGGAGGGGTCAGGCCTGGAGGCAATGGACACAGGTGACTGTGTTCCCTTTGGCCCAGTTGGTCAAATGTGAGGAATTTCAGGAAAGGGACCCACATCTCTGTTTTCAGATTCCTTTGAAGATTTCAGCCAAAAAGAACTACTTGCTGTTTCCTGTCCTCCTTAAATGTCGTCTCCACACCTTTGTAGTTTCTTCCATGCAGAGTATGCCACCCACCCCTCAACATCTCCCAAACCTGAATAGTAACCTATCCTTTAGGGAAGGCCCAGGTCAACTGCCACCTCCTCCATGAAGGCTTCCTGATTTCCACCTCATCCCCAAGCCAGAAGTGATCTCTTCCTTCTTTGAACAGCCAGTGTGCACAGTATCAGTAAAGCTTTCTTATGTGCCAGGCACACAGTGAGTTTTCAATAAAAATACGTGGTGCCGTATCGGTGCGTCGCTTATCTTCCCTACTGGAGCAGGATCCACACCTGGTGCATCTGTCCTTCCTTCCAGCTTTCCATTCAACAGATGCTTATTGTGTACCTACTCCACGCTAAGCTCCATTCTAAGTGTTGGGAACTTAGCCATGAACAAGACAAAGAAGGTTTCTCGTCTCATGTTGTTAACAGTCTGGTAAGGAAACAGACAACAAAACGAGCACACTAATGAACAGGACTAATGTGAGATGGTGAAGAGGGCCCTGAAGAAAGCAGAACTGGGTAAAGTGGTAGTGACTGGGACAGGGCGTTGCTTTGGATGGGTGTGATGGGGAAGGAAGGCCTCTCTGACAGGTGACATCTGACCTGAATCCTGAATGACCAGGAGTCAACCATGGGAAGAACCAAGGGCAACATTTTCCCAGCTGTAGGAGCAGCATGTGTAAAGGTCCTGAGGTAGAAACAAGCATGGTGTGTTTTGAGGAAACCGTAGAAGGGCAGTGTGCACGAAGCTGAATGAGTATGAGGCAGCATGATATGAGATGGTGATCTAAGTCAGGGGCAGTGCTGTCCATAGAGCTTTCCACAATGACAGAAATATTCTATATCTACACTGTCCAATAGGGCAGTGCCGACTGAGCACTTGAAATGTGGCCACTGCAACTGAGGAACTAAATTTTAAATTTCATTTTAATTTAACTCATTTAAATTTGAATAACCACATGGCTAGCGGCTACCATATCCGACAGCCCAGCCCTGATAAGTGCCAAGAGTTCATTGGCCATGGGCTGAATGAACAAACTCTTAGGTTGTACAGGTCCACCATCTCTTATGTGCAATTGCGAAATCCAAAAAAGCTCTAAAAACGAAAATTCATGTTTTGGTCATTCATTTGGTGGCAAAACCTGAAATGAACTCTCATGAGGCTGTTTCTGGTCTTTATTTATCCCATTTGGTATGTTCATATCTTTCACTGCAAAAATATTCGTGTGTTTGATTTCGGGGTGCTGCCCCCGAGCTCGCTGGTGGTGTGAGTAACACACAGTAAGGTCATGTTCCTTTCTTAACGGCTGGAAAGTCCTGAGTTTTAAATGCACCTGGGCCCAGGGGTTTCAAAGGGATTGTGAGCTTGTGTGTAAGTGCTTCAGGCCAGAGGGGGTCCTCAGAATGGACAGAGATGCAGTCCTTGTCTTCCAGGAGCTAACTGTCCCAAACCCTGCACAACCCCAGGACGGAGCCAGCCTGGGAGCTCCCGGGATGCTCACCTCTTATAGTACGCCAGCTCCTCCTGCAACAAGAACACCTTGGACTTGAGCTCATTCCTCTCATGCAGCACGTCCCGCAGCTCCTGCAGCGTGAATCGGGGGCGGTTGGGGTCCTTGAGATCCATGGCCACCTTCTCCGCCTCTGAGACACTCTCCTCTCCGCCCGGCTCCGTCTGGAGGAGGCAAGATGCTGCTAATGAATTCCTGGCGGCCACCACCAGCACCCACTCCGCATCCTGCCGGAGCCCGAATTTCCCACCCTCCCGGGGCCTCAGCAGCTTGCCGAGAGTGCTATTTTAAGAACTCGCAGGCGGCCTCTGCTCACGTTCTGTGCAGTCGGCGTCCCTCCATCCCTCCGGAGAGAAAAGCCAGCGGCCACCTGTTCATTGTTTGCCTTCTCAATAGGCAGACCTGTGGGCTCGGCGCCTCTCCACTCAGGATTTTATTCCAAACAGCATTAAAAGGCGACCAAGGAGAAGAAACAGCGTGCCCCTAGGGATGCCACCCCCCTAAATCGTCCTGCTTTCCCTTTCCCATGTTCTCTCCTCATATTCATACTAAGACCTTTGTTAATTTGGCTAAAGTTGTTGGAATCAGAGCCTATGCACAATTCTCTATCTTTCATTTGACGTGAGGTCACATACATTTTCCCATTTGTTACCCGCCTCCTGGTCAAGCCCATTCGCCCCAGTGCTCTGGGCGTCTTTTCACTGGAGTTCAGGGGAAGCCCCAGCGGCGGGGTCACCTGGCGGTCACAGGACAGCAGGGGTTCACAGGCAGGGCATTTCTCCTCATGCAGGTCACGCGGACCGATCCTAGCATGCTAAGCCACCTGTTCCAGGCCAGGCCCAAGCCCGTCCTCCCACCCTCTTCCACAGCAAGGAGCTTTTAAAAACAATTGCGGTAAAATTACATAAAATTTACCATTTTAACCATTTAAAAATATGCAATTCAGTGGTATTTAGTACACATGCAATGTTGTGCACCCACCACCTCTCTCTAGTTGCAAAACTTTCTCATCACCCCGAAAGGAGACCGTGCACCCATTAGCACTCACTCCCCATCTCCCTCCCTCAGTCCCTGGCCACCATCATCTGCTTTCCATCTCTCTGCATTTGTCTGTTCTGGACATTTCCTATCAATGGAATCATACACTATGTGGCCTTTTGTGTCTGGCTTCTCTCATTCAGCATCATGTTTTCAAGGTCCATCCACGTTGTGGCAGGTGTCAGTGCTTCATCCCTTTTCGTGGCCGAATCATATTCCAGTGCATGGATGGACCACATTTTCTTTCTCCTTTTATCCACTGATGGGCACTTGGGTTGTTTCCGCCTTTTGGCTCTCAGGACCAGCGCTGCCACGAACATTCCTATACAACGATTTGTGTGAACATCTGTTTTCAGTTCTTTGGGGTCCATACCTAGGAGTGGAACTGCTGGGTCGTATGGTCAGTCTATGTTTAACTTTTTGAGGAACAGCCTAACTGTTTTCCACAGCGGCTGCCCCCTTTTACATTCCTGCCAGCAGTGTAGGAGGGCTCCACATTCTCCACATCCTTGTCAACACTTGTTTTTCTTCCATTTTTTTGATAGCAAGGAAGTTTTTGCAAGCTACCTCGAGGTCAGCTGACCAAATCTGCAGGCGGCCCCACTCTGCAGGCAGCGCAGTGTTCCCCACCCCCCTGAGATGCCAATGTCCCATGATCGACTAGAAGGAGTGGATAAGAGCTCAGGACAACAGTGGCAAAGCTCTGGAATAGGGGAAAGAGGGATTGAAATAGAGACCCACGTCCCCCCAAAAAAACCCACAGGGCGGGACTCCAGCCTAGAGGCGTGATACAAGGCCAGGAAGGTGAATGACTCCTGAAGGCGGAGCTGAGAGGCCTCACATCCTGGGACAGTCAGGACGGGCTGTTCTGGGAAAGGACACTTGAAAGGAGACACCACCCCCCAAGGCAGATCAGGTGACAGAAGAGCGAGGCGTTGCAGGCGGGGAAGGAGGTCTGACCAGGAGTCAGCACGTCAGCACGGAGCAGCAGGAAACCGAAACCTGACACACACTGGCCCCACCAAGCCATCTGGGCAAAGACGAGCGGGGCCTCTTCCCCCCCAAGAACCAGGGGAGGAAATGCTGGAGGATTTAACTTCCCAAGAAGGTATTCTAGGCGTCTGCTGATGCCACCTTCAGGTGGGCTGTGTTCTCAGGGTACGTCTTCAGTCTCCAGTTCCCTCTGCGGAGCTTCGGGGCTGCTCCACGGACCACCTGACAGCCTCATACTAGGACGGTGTCCTCTACCCAAGACTGTGTGTTAGTAAGTGCCCGGTATACAGCCGGCACTCACTAATGCCACTTCCCTTCTCTTTCCCTGCCCAAGTTAAGCACAGAGCATCCTTGGATGTCTAATATTTATTGAGCATCAACTGTGTACCTGCTGGTCACTGAGATGAATCAGACAGATGGGGGTGGAGGGAAGACACACACAAATAGAAACGTACAAGGTGACAGAATGAAAGAGGTGCGAGGACAGCAAACTCTAAGTAGGGAGGATCAGGGAAGACGTTACTGCAGACGGGGTCTCTGCATGGGGTCTTGACGACTGTGCAGAAGTTCACCAGGAACTCTGGGCTCAGCCCAGACCCCCTTTCCCCATTTTGTGTGGCCCTCACTGTGTTCTAAAACTCTAGTGAATTAGCTGTCAACTATTTTAGATCAGGAGATTCCACAAGAAAGTCAGTTTGGGGCTTCGTTTTGGAAAAAAGTGGAAAGATTAGATCACTCTGGGCCCGCAGGCAACACTGGGCTGGGGCTGTGTAGCAGCGGCTCCCTTTACATGCTCTTCTCGTGGCTGCCCACTCCCCACCCCTTTGGCCTTCCCTGCCTGGACTCGTGGACCCAAACCTCAGGCTCACACACTCCCTCCAGCCCCTCCCTCCCCGGACAACTTAGGCCCTGCCTCTCTGTGTCTCCGGGAGGGGCCATGTGACGGGGTCCACACACCCAGAGGAAGGCATGAAGCCCTTCTGGGGGCTTCCCAAAGCCTCACTTCTCAAGAGGCTTTTGGGCAAGCTGCCTGCTCCTCTCGGGGCCTGCATTTGTTCACCTCGACGGCCTGCCCGCCTGACGTCCGGGGGTTCCTATGAGCGTGTGCCTTCAAGGCGCAGCAGGTCCCAGCTCACCCCTGATGTGTCCAATCACCCAAGACACAAGGGGCTCCCCAGGATCTGGGTGCTTTTCTCTGGAGAAGCGACACTCTTCCATCGGGGGAGTGACCTGATCCCCTTAGAGCTCAGGGCTTTTCCAGACAGGTTTGCAGAAAAGTGCTGACTTCCGGGACCACTGCCACAGGCAGAAGAGGGGAAGCGTGGGCTCCGGCTCTCCCTGAGGCCACCAGGCACCGACGTGGCGCTGCGGGCAGCCCAGGACTCCCCCGTCCAGGCGGAGGGAGCCTGCCAAGGCTCATCCGGAGATGGCAATCAGGCCGACGGGCAGCGGGCCTTCCAGGCTTGCTCCGCGAGGGAGCACGCAGGTGGCGGGGGTTATCTCCGACTGTCGGCTGGTCCCCTGAGGCGCTCTGGGCACAGCTCGAGGGAGATGCCCCGAGGCATCCTCCTCAGCTGCTCCCCAGGGAGGCCCACGAGACCAGCCAACAAGCACTGGGGTCTGTCCAGAGAGGCCTTAGGGAGGCAACATCCCCCCTCACAGCCCTCCAACCCGAGGCTGGGCCTCCTGCCGTGCTCCCCGCTGTCTGGGCACATCAAGGCCACCTCCTGCGCTCCCTCGGCCCCTTGAACATACTTCTGAGCAGCCCCTGGCCCAGCACAGGGGACTGACTGTGCTCTCATCACCCTTGGTGACTCCAGGCCCACCACGCATGAATTCAGCCCAAAAACCCTGCTTCACGCGCCACCCGTTAGGCCCGTGTGTGCCTTCCCTGCGCAGGGAGCCCGCCCTTAAAAACCGCAGCAAACACTCACTAAGAAATCAGAACTTGTACGGCGGAGACATCAAAGAAGTAACTATTACCTTCACAGCTGTCTCACTGACTTTATACAAAGGCCTTTAGCCAGGAGTCGGCTTCATTTTAAGGATTTATATGTCTACTTGTGAAAGGCAGGAAAACCTTCTGTTAAAATACGAGGAGCTAGATGGACCAGAAAACACGCTGACTGAAGAAGCCGGTCAGGACCACGCGATGATCCCGCTTCTGTGAAATGTCCTGAGTCGGCAAATCCAGAGAGACAGCAAGAGGATTAGTGGTGGCCAGGGGCTGGGGGAGGGGGAGGTGGGGAGAGGCTGCTAATGAGTATGGGGTTCCTTTTTGGGGTGATGGAAATGTCCTAGATAGTTAGGATGATGGCACAAGATAGTGAATTTACTAAAAACCATTGAGTGGAACTTTTTTTTTTTGAGGAAGATTAGCCCTGAGCTAATATCTGCTGCCAATCCTCCTCTTTTTGCTGAGGAAGACTGGCCCTGAGCTAACATCTGTGCTCATCTTCCTCCACTTTACATGTGGGACGCCTACCACAGCATGGCTTGCCAAGCAGTGCCATGTGCGCACCCGGGATCCGAACTGGCAAACCCCACACCGCCGAAGTGGAACGTGTGAACTTAACCGCTGCGTCACTGGGCTGGCCCCTGAATTGTACATTTTAAATGGTTGAATTGTATGGTATGTGAGTTATATCTCAATAAAAATGTTATAAAAATATATAAGGAGTCCTGTCTACCGGAGATCACACTGAAGTGACAATGATGCAGCTCAGAAAGGATTGTATGAATCAAGGGGGAAAGTCAGAATGACCGAGGCAATGATGAGAACCGATTCCTCCTCAGCTCTGGATCCCTCCATAGCTCCCACTTCCCCTCACCCATCCTGTGCCAGGACTAACCCACCACCCCAGCCACACCCTGCACGTGCTCCCGTCTGTTCCTGAATGTTGCCTGGAATGGCCTGCCCCATTCTACCCCAAGAACTCGTACCCATCCCATAAGACCTGTCTCAATGCCTGGAAGGGCTGCTCAACCTCGCCTCTCGACTCGGAGTTCACATCAAGTTCAAGTCAAGTTCATTCCCCTCCCTTGTCAGATGGGAAACTCACCACCAAAGAGATGGACGGGTTCCAGGTCACACGGCAGCAGGTGATGAAGCCACCGTAACCTGCAGCTTCCCTGTTTGACTGACGAGCACCCTGAAGCCCACCCAGCTACAAGGGACGGAGTCAAACCCAGCAAAGATGCCTGGGTTTGGGAACAGACACTACAAAGAAGCTCACGGATTAGTCATTACTGTTACCTGAGTTTACTCTCCATTTCTGCCCCACCCCTTTGGTGCCAGAAAGGGAAACTGACACCAACAGGCAGTCGGGCCAAGGAGGTGTGAAATGTCCTCGTCCCTGTTGCTACAGAGATCTGGAGCAGGGCTGGGAGTCTTGTGGCCGGGGCGATGTCCTCGGGCCCCGCCTGCCCCGCAGGAGACAGGCCTGAGCTCTCATGGGGCCCAGGAGGCTGGGAGGGGTACGCCAGGGCAGGAGGGGGGGACCACCCCAGCCTGGCCCAGGGGCTGTCTTGGGCATCTGCCTCCTCGCCTCCGTCCTCCTGCCATAGACTTGGCCAAGCCTCACCTTTCTTGTATGGATTATTGCAAAGGGCCCCCGACAGCCATGTCTGCCAGGAGCTCCTTCCCCATTCAAAATGTCCTCCAGAAACTCAGAGAGGATCCTGTCACTCATCTGCTGAAACCGTGCGAAGGACCCACATCCCCCTCTGCTCAGCGTCTCATGTGTGGCATTTTCCAGCCCTGACTCTCGCCCTGTAATGACAGCTGATGCCTCTGCCTGGCTTGCATCTGTTCCCGCGCTTCTCCAGGCTGAGCTGTTGCAATTTTCCTCTGGAGAAACTCCCCTTTGCCACTTTCCGTGTGTGTGGCTTCGATGACACTACCAAGGGTAGCCATGTGACTCGGGACTAGATGATGTGCATATTTGAGACCTCCGGCCACAATGATTGGTTCAGTGATAGGCCAATGAGAGGGTTCCCTGAGACTTCTGCTGGACACTTGGGAAAGGCAATTTCTTTCCACCGGGGTTACAAAGCTGGTTGAGTACTGGGGGCCATTATTTGGCAAGAGCCTGCTTGAGAATGACACCAACACAGAGGAAAGCAAAGCTGAGAGAGAATGTCTGAAACAAATTCCTGATGGCATCATTTGGGCACCTGTAACCAGCTATACCTGAAGCCATCCCTAACTCAAAGCTTTCAGTTACACAGACAATAAATTCCTTTTTTAGAAAATCCTTAAACGATTTTAACTTAGGCTTCTGTCACTTTTAGCCAAAAGCAGGCTCTAACCTCTCCCTTTTGAGACTTTTCTCCCTTACCTCCCTGTCTATACCCCTGGTTCCTGTCCTTCAGAGAACCTAGAGGTGTCTGGCCTGAATTCACAGGATACTTAATGATGGTCTGGGATTTGAGCCAACCTGACACCTCATCTGTCTTACGTCTCCCTTCTGTAGCCCAGAGCCCAGCACAGTGCCTGCTAACCTGAAACGGTCAATATTCATTGGAAGGCAGAGCAAGCCCGGAGCCTGTCTCGAACACTATCCATCTTCTACAGATACCTATCAAATTCTTAGCACCGCTGACACTGATACCCAGCTGGAGGGACGGCTCTTCCATGACGCTCCACGCCACCCCCAGCAGGATTAGCTGCGCTCTCTCTGTTCCTGGCGCACTCCAGGGGCACAGCTACGTGGCAGGTGCCTCTGGTGCCGGTGTCACAGCCCTGGGCCCACCTGCATCCCAGGTGCAGCTGTGGTGCAGCTCCGTCCGTGTGGACAGGGCCCCACCTCAAGCACGCACTGTAGGTCTTTCTGTTGTTGCCCCGGGATCTGCTCCGAAAGTTCCACGCAGGAGTGTCGGGGAGATGACACCCGCGGGCCACCCTGAGCTAGCTGGGGCAGGCGCCTGGGGATACATGTCCCAGGTTTTCTCCTCCAGAAAGACACTCTGGGAGGTGTTCCAGGTGCTTCTCAAAGGTCCCAGCAGGACTGAGCTCCGACCATGACCTCAACGACCCACCCTCAAAGTCACTCTTCCTCCTTCCCTGTCTCACCCCCCTGACCTCGGGGATCACCTTCTAAAGGAATCTCCTTTTACACGTGGTCCCCTCCTCAGGCTCTGCTTCAAGGGAACCAAGACAACGCACCCTTCACCACTAAGACAATCCCCTCCTGCCTGAGGTGTGGCTGCTCGTGTCCAAGTCCGTCTCCTGCACTGGACTGCGAGCTCGAACCTCCCTAACATCCAGTACCGTGCTCTCAGATGAAAGACCAAACTCCAGGCTGTGGCCTGCCTGACCTGCAGGCCCGGCCCCGGCCCACCTCTCTGACCTCATTTACACCTTCTCCCTCCCCTTTACTCTCTACACCAGCTGCCTTTGCCTTTTTATATTCCCTTGATCACACTGCAGTTGGTCCTGGCACAGGGCCTTTGCACATGCCATTCCGCCTGCCTGGAACTCACTTCCCCTTCACCTAGTTTACTCTCGCTTTTTTTTTCTGCTGAGGAAGATTCACCCTGAGTTAACATCTGTGCCAATCTTCCTCTTTTTGCTTGAGGAAGATTCACTCTGAGCTAACATCTGTTGCCAATCTCCTTTTTTTTCTTTTTTCCTCCCCAAAGCCCCAGTGCATGGTTGTATATCCTAATTGTAAGTCCTTCTAGTTCTTCAATATAAGCCACTGCCACAGCAGGGCAACTGACAGGTGGGTGATATGGTTCTGCAACCAGGAACTGAACCCCAGCCACCGAGGTAGGGAGTGTGCCAAACTTTAACCACTAGACCATCATGGCTGGCTCAAATTTGCTTTTTTTAAAGTACAGAATTCAGCGGTTTTTAGTACATTCAGAGTTGTGCAGCCATTACCACTATCCAATTCCAGAACATTTTCACCACCCCAAAAGAAAGTCCATACTCACTGGCCGTCCCTCCTCACGCCCCCTCCCCCAGCCCCTGGCCACCACCAATCTGTTTTCTGTGTCTGTGGATTTGCTGACTCTTGACATTTCAGATAAATGGAAGCAGAAAACACGTGGCCTTTTGTGTCGGCTCCTTTCATTGGGCGTGTTTTTGAGGTCCATCCATGATGCAGTAGGAGTCAGTGCCTCATTCCTTTCTGAGGCTGACTCATATTCCACTGTGTGGAGAGACCACGTTCTGTGCACCCATTGTTCAGGGGATGGACATGTGGGTCCTTTCCACCCTTTGGCTGCTGTGACTAGCGCTGCTGTGGACGTCTGTGCACAGGTTTTTATGTGGAGATATATTTTCAGTTCTCTTGTGTGCGTGCCTAGAAGTAGAATTGCTGGGTCACACGGTACTTTGTGACTATTTGACTGATGCCCGTCTCCCACACTAAACTGTGAGCTCCATGCAGACAGCAATGCTCTCCTTTTCACCCCCCATGACTGCAACACACTCAATGATTACTTGAATGAATGAATGGCAGGTACCCAGTACCCATCACTGAGCTGAATACCCTGGGCTAGAATGCTGGCAGTCCTAGCTCCAGGCCCAGCTCTGCCTCCACCCAGCTACGTGTCCTCTAGCCAGCGGCCGGCTCTCTGGGCCTCCCATTTCCTTCAGTGTAATGGGGAAAACGAGGCAGCCCTGCCAGCCTGGAGCAAGCCCACAGACGACCCTCCCACATCGGCTTGCTGGCCAGCTTCCCACTCACCTCGGGCTCCTCTGCCCCGTTCTGGCTGAGCTCACCCTGCAGCCTCTCTCGCAGCTTCCCAAGCTCCGCCCGCAGGCTGCCCATCTCCTGCTCCTTGGTTTGCAAATCTGCCTCCAGTTCTACCTTCTGTTCAATCAGGGCCTTCCCCTGGGCTTCCACCACTGTGACGCGGTGCCGAAGGTCATGGTTGATCTTCATCAGCCGTGTCTGCTGCTGCTGCAGCTGGAGAGAGAGAAAGGCCGTTCAATGGGGCTGCCACATACAGTAGCTCATGTTGTGCACTGCAGAAGGGCAAACTATCTATGGGTGTGCAATTCACACTGCAGACATCCTGATTTGTTAGAAATTTGTTCATATTCTTATAACTGTTGATGCCAGAGATGGATAATTAGTATATTTACTATGATAATTTTATGACAGATGGAAGATAAGTATCTTGTTAGTATATTACGACAATTTCCCAACAGATGGAAATAAGATGTCTTCAGAAAGGGGTGTCTTTTTCTAATTCAGGCAAAGCCACTGCAGGGGTTCCTGGAACAGCCTGGACCGTGCTGGCCTGCTCACAGAGGGGCGTGAAGGGGGTGGGCTTGAGGAAGCCTCAGGGTCAGAGCAAAGGCTGACCGGGCCTCGGAACCTCCCCAGGATGTGGAAGGAGTCAGATCAGAGGGCAGTGCCACGTCTGCTCCTGCATTCCAGTCAAGACTTGGCTGAGGGTCCTCCCACAGCTGCTGTTTCAGGGCTGGGCCCACCAAGACATGGGCAGGATCCATGCCCCATGGAGCCCATGGAATGAGACGGAGGGGGAGATGGGGACCTTGGAGAGGAGGATCCAGGCCCTTGCTGGTACCTATGCCCGGGCGGGTGGACATCACTTACAGCCTCGACGTCCTCGTTCTTCAGACCGAGCTCCCTGTCCTTGGCGCGGATCTCGTCGCGCTGCTTGTCCACCACCTCCTTCAGCTTCTTCATCACCTGCCGCTCCCGCTCCGACATGCCTGGGGTGGGGCCAGCGAGACCAGCAGGTAAGTCCACCTCCCTCCCCTGCTTAAACCATGCGGCCGCTTCCCACGGAGATGAAACTGCGCCGGCCTCCTCCTAGCCTCATCCTCTCCACTGCAGCACCTGCTTTCTGTCCCTGACCCCTCCGAGCTTGTCCCCACCTCAGGGCGTCTGCCATTGCTCTTCCCAGTGCCTGCAATTCCCTTCCTTCCAACCTCCCCTGGCTGGCTCGCCTTGGTCCTCAGGCCTCAGCTCCTCACAGAGGCCTTTCCTTCCCTGACCACCCTCCCACCACCCCGTTTATGACCTTTGCATCACTTTTCACCATCGCTAAGCGTCTGGTACCTTCTTTCACCTGAAGAAAGAAGATACTGCACAGTGATTCAGAGGGTGAGCTCTGGAGCTCAGACAGTGGCTCTCCCATTTATTAGTGGTGTGGCTTCGGGCTAGCATCCTTGTGCCTCAGTTTCCACATCTACAGAATGGGACCGATGGCAGTACCTGTCCCTTAGGGCTGTTGTGAGGATTGATCTAGTTAACACGCACGAAGCACTGAGATGATGCCTGGCATTCAGCAGGTGTTCAATGGGTGTTGTCTGTTACCCTTTTGTTTTTTGTCTGTTCCCCTGCCCCTTGCCCCCCAAGTATACTGTCAGCCCCAGGTGGCAAGGCCCTGCCCGACCTACTCACCATCATGTCCCCTTGACTCACAGAGCCTGGCACACAGTAGGCGCTTCCTAAGGGATCTGGTGAATTAATGACCTGTGAGGACGGGTGTGGGTTGTTTTCATGTGGCTGCTGTAACAAATGACCAGCAAAATGCGGAGCTTAAGATGGCAGAAATTCATTCTCTCATGGTTCCGGAAGCCAGAAGCTTCCAGAGTCAAGAGGTCGCCAAGGCCGGGCTGGAGTATCTGCTCCTTACCTCTCCCAGCTTCTGGCGGCTGCCAGCATCCCCTGGCCTGTGGTCACATCCCTCTGGTCTCTGCCCCCATGGTCACACGGCCTCCTCTTCTGTCTGTGTCAAATGTCTCTCTGCCTCCCTCTTAAAAGGACACGTGTGATGGCATTTAGTGCCGTCCAGATAACCCAGGATAAGCTCCCCATCTCAACAGCCTGAACTAAAGCCTGGAAAGATTTACCGTGTAAGGTGACAGCCCCAGCGTCCCAGGACTCGGACCTGATGTGCTGGGCGTCGGTATTCAGCCTCCTGCAGGCGCTGGGGCTGACAGCTAATCCCTGCCCCCAGGAGGCCTGGGCTGGGGGGCGGGGCAGGCTCAACCACAGACTAACGAGAGACGCATCCCCCGATTCCCTCCTCCAGGGTTCAGAGGACACGGGGCCCCCCCAGAGGAGAGACCCCGCGGCGATTCCTCAGCTCTTTTCCCTCCGTGACTCCCTCCTCCAAGCTGCTCCGCCCCAGCTGAGCCTCTTCTGCTGGCCGCCCCGCTCCTGTCCTGGGTATGCCCAAGCAGGCGGTCGCCGCCACGAACGAGCGTTCACGGTGTGTGCCCAGGATGGTGTGCGATGCTGCGGGGCCAAAACCCAGCTAGGACCGGGCTCTGCCCTCAAAGAGCTTAGCCTTCAGGTAATGGACACAGACGCAGGCGGGTCTGGGAGGCAGCCAACCTGCCTCAAGCGCGTCTCTGTCCTACCACGTGGCATGGGGCAGGTGCTCCAGACTGGCTGATGGGACAGCGACGGGCTACCCTCCATGTTCCCAAAGCACAAGTGGCTCCTGCAAGGCCCAGTCAGGATAAACCGCTTTACGTCTTCGACCCTGTTTCCTCTTGTTGCCCCTTTAGAGGAAGGTCCAGCCTCCTCACCCGACCTCCGAGGCCTGCGTGGTCCAGGCTTGCTCCCAGCTCGAGCTCGCATCCGCCCTTGGCCCCTGCTCACCAGCCGCCAGCATTGCCCTTCAGCTCCCCAGACGCACGGTCTCTCCCCCTAGGGCCTTTGCACTCGCTGGTCCCTGCCTGCAGCGCTCGTCTCGTCATCTGGCTGCCCCCTCCTCCTTCAGGCCTCAGTGTAGACAACCTTGCTCTAAGAGGCCTGCCTGCTCCCGCAGTCCATGTGGGGTCTCCCTTGTCCTTCTTTCTAGTCCCCGTTGCATCCATGCCATCGCTCATCATGGTCTGTAGTGACACGTGTGTCTGACGTCCGTAAGTTGCTGAGAGCAGAACTGTGTTTCATTTATTGACCGTCGTGACCCCAGTGACGAGCTCAGTGTGAGGAATACAGCAGGTGCTCAATAAACACTTAATGAATGAGTGTTGTGTGTGTGTGCATGCAAAAAGATGTGAGGGTACTCCCAGCGGGTGGCCCTGTCTGGAAGAAAGTATGCTCCATGGTGGCACATTCTGGTGACCTTAAGGGAGCCACTGAGTCTTGTCCCCGATGGCAAGGCAGCATGGCATCATGGAGAGGACATGGGGCTTGGAGTTAGAAAATGTGGATTTGAGTCCCAACTCTGCCAGTGCCTGGCTGTGAAAATTTGAACAGATCTGTGTCTGCGCCTCAGTTTTCCATATGTGTGTAATGGGACTGATGTCAACAACAACAATAATGCCCTTTTCCAGTGCTTGGGAAGCTGGAACGTCTACGTTCCATCACAGCACCGGGCTGATGACGTCTGAAGTGACGTTAGCCTCTCTGAGCCTCCATTTCCTCATCTGCAAAATGGGTATGCTGGTCTCTATATTCCACCTCTCTGACAACATTCTGCCTCTAAATTAAGTACAGTAGGAAATCTCAAAAGGCTGTGAAGTAGGATCTTTTCCTACTAGGGGGCCTGGGGTGTCAGTTCAGTGCCCAAGACCGCTCAGCTTCCTCCTGTGCCTGCCGAGGCCTGCGAGGCTACGAGGCCGAGAGATGCAGAGAAGGGCTGTGGTGAGGAGGCCGGGATGGCCAGGAGGAGCAAGCATACCCCCCAGAATGGCTAAGACGAAAAGCACTGACGAGGCCAGGTGCTGGGAGAAGGTGGAGCCCCGGGAAGGCTCCGGCATCACGGTGGGAGCGCTGCTCCAGCAGACGCTTTAGCATTGCCTACTAAAGCTGATACACATGCTCTATGTACCAGCAGTTGCATCCCGGGTACATTGCCAACAGGTATGCGTGCACATGCTCATCAGGAGGAGGATGATTCAACAAACCACAGTACAATCAGATGCCATGTGGCTATTTATTTTTTGGTGAGGAAGATTGGTCCTGAGCTAACATCTGTGCCAATCTTCCTCCGTATCATATACAGGACACTGCCACAGCATGGCTTGATGAGCAGTGGTAGGTCCACACCTGGGATCTGAACCTACGAATCCCAGGCCACTGAAGCGGAGTGTGTGAACTTAACCACTGCGCCACCAGGCTGGCCCTAACTATGCGGCGGTGTAAAAGATTGAGACATATTGCAAAGTGGAAAAGGTAAGTGATGGTCTGTATAGTGCAAGATGTGCAAAAATGCTCATGGCAGCGTTGTTCATAGTAGCCCCAAACTGGAAACAACCAAAATGCCCATCAATAGGAGAATGAATGGACAGACTGTGGTACTAACATGCAATGGAATACTACACAGCCATGAAAAGAACAAACTACAAGCTCCACTTGGAGACTATAAAGTCAGTCATCTCTCCAGACTCTCCTCCTCCCTCAGGTGCAGCACTGGCGCCTTCCTGACCACCGTCCCCTCCTCAAAGGATGCTCTCCAGCTGGAGTCTTGAGCTGAATGGCCCCCGGACCTCCGATGGGGAATCACAGGGCCATCAGGAGGTCCTGGTCACTAGGTGCCCCCCTCTAAACACCCCTGGGCCACTGCTGCAAGGCAGGGCCTGGGCCTTGGCTGGCAGGACAAGAGGACACTGCTGACATCTTGCCCAAAAGCACCCCTCAGACAGTGTGTGTGTGTGTGTGTGTGTGTGTGTGTGTGTGTGTACGTGAGTGGGTGTGGTGGGGCTGAAATCAAGTGTAGGCAGAGTCTGTAAAAAGCCACAAAGCACTTGCTGTTTGCTCCCTGAGCACCTGTCGCACAACAGGCTCTGTGGGGGCATCAAGGGCAGAGTTGATCTAATCCCTGGGGGGCAGATTCCGCTCCCGGAGGAGTGAGGTGGGAAGAACAGCGAAGTGGGGGGTGAGAGGAGCATGAATCCGGAGACAGGAAACTTGGTCTGTAACCCAGCTGCATCATTCCCCTTTATGGGCGCCAGTGGCTGCAAGACCGAGAGGGCGGAGAACAAAACGGCCAAGAGTTGGAGTCTGAAGCTAGATTTCCTGGACTCAGTCCTGGCTTTGCCACTCATCTGTTCTTGACCTCGGGCCTGTTTTGCCACTTGCGAATGAGGATCATGTGGAGTCCCCACCTGGGGGGCTCTTCTGAGGCTGCATCGTTCATCTATGAGAAGTGCTCACGACAGGCCTGGCACAGAGTAAGAGCCCCCACGTGTTAGCTGTCATTCTGTCCATAAGACGGAAATCCCAGTGTTCCGAGCTCCAAAGGTTGCTGCTAACATGAAGTCCAACGGTGGGTACAGAGGTGCTTTCAAAATTAGGAGAAGGCTAAGTGTTTTTAATAGACTCACACTGTTGAAAGCTGGAGGGCTTCTGAGCAATCATGCAGTCACCCGCAATTCAGGATCCTGAGATCTGGATTTGAAGACACATCTGGGCAAGTGCATGGAGAAGCAAGTCCAAGGTCATCACAGGAGCCACCTTTGCAGTAGCGAAAACTGGTGACGATCAAAATGTCCACCAGTGTCCAAACGGTTAAATAAACAAGGCCCTTCCACACAATGAGACACTATGTAGCCAGTTAAAAGACTGAGATACACTGTTGAGTCAAAAATGCAAGTGACAAAGCCACAGCAGCACTATTCACAATGGCCAAAAGGTGGAAACAGCCCAAATGTCCATCAACAGATGGATGGATAAACAAGATGGGGTCCATCCACACAATGGAATATTATTCACCCCATAAAAAGGAATGAAGTGCTGAAATATGCTACAG